AAAATTGCGTTTTTTTTTTTTTTTTACCTTTTAATAGTCGTTCTCTTCTTTGTGTGCTGTATTTGCTTATTGGTTCAGCATAATAAAAATCCAACGACCGTATTCAATATTTCCACAGATGATTAAAATTGTGTTCCACTGTACAAGTGAAGAAGAGTGAATTGTTGCTCTGGGATTCACCTGTGAAGATCTGTATGAAGCCAAAGAGGATGATGATGATCAGTGCGAGCAGCTTGGAGACAGTGAACAAGTCTTGGACCTTGGTGGCGGCTCTCACGCTGATGCAGTTGACAAAAGTCAGGGAGGCTGCAAGAGGGGAGGAGTGATGAGAGACTGAAAGCTCTTCTCCAAAGTGACAAAGACTGAGCGGTTTGTAGATTTTTTTCAAATCTGTACTTTTCTGCGGCATTTCATTTTCATTTTTTTTTTTTATTTATTCCCTACATTTGAAAAGAGATTCTCTTTACTTTATCAGCATATGCTTGTTGCTTTTTTTCAACGGCTCCGGATCACGACACGATGTGCAAAAGATGTAAATGGAGAGCGCTAACCGTGGTTGAGATACTAAAAGTTCTTAAACACTTACAAAGCGGGAAAAGAAATGGGACAAACTTCTCATCAAAACCGATTACAGTTGTCTGTTTTGATGCTCCCTCTTCCCATTTTATACTTTATCTCACTGCGCAAGTGCAGACTTGAATTGGGAAAGCGGCAGCAAAATAAACTCGTTGGCGCGGTTGTAAGTGTGGAGCGGAAGAGATGAGGAGGTGAAAGGAAAGCAAACTTTTTTTTTTCACAACTACAAAGAGAATGCAGTGGGGAACAAGTGGAAAGTGACAAGTGATGCTTTTCATCACGAAAACGTGAGTATGAAATCGGTCAAAATAATCATGTGTTGATTAAGGGTCTTTATTAATTCCAGAAAGAGTGTCATTAGAAGGATTTTTAAGGATTTTATCGACGTTAGGAAATTGGAAAAGATGGTGACAGTTACATGACCATATTTGTCACCTCACATTTTTTAGTTGAGGATATAGACATTTATATTTACATTCTGGTGAGAAATATTCACGAGACGGTGACAAAGGGTAAAAATATGGTTATGTAACTGGGAACTTAAGCTAACAGATTGAATTTTTCTAGCCATGGACATCCCTTAATTTAGTACTTTTTTTTCGACTCTATTCACAACATTAGCAAACCGTTGTTTGAGTAGCTAGTTCGGAACAACACCTAACTGGCGCATCTTTTGTTTTTGCTCAAGTTAACATTCACATGTGAGTTAATAAAAGAAGAAAACTATGTGTTTTTTTGTGCCAAACTATTCAAATTGATATCATTCAAAAGGGACGGTTTAAAAAAAAAAAAAATCGGATTAACTTTTATACATCAGTAGACCTAAATTTCAGTCTTTTTTTTCCTGTTTCTGAACTTGAACTTCAGTACAAAGTGTGAGCGCTATAACTCCCTCTGTGCTTCCTAATGTACTCACTGAGACACAGGCAAGCGATGAGCTTGGCGGCGCTGTCGGGCACGCTACAGCTGGGGTAGATCGGTTTGAGGAGGTACGTGGCAAACACCAGCGACACCACATACTGCGACGACGGCCGGATGATGAGCATCTCCACCCACAGTTTGAGGAAGGCGGCCAGCTCGCCGTACACCTCCAGGATATACGTGTAGTCGCCGCCGGACTTGGAGATGGTGGTGCCGAGCTCGGCGTAGCAAAGCGCCCCCATGGTGGAGATCACCCCGCAGACGGACCAAATGATCAAGGAGAGTCCGGCCGAGCCCGTTTCTTTCACGACGCCCGTCGGCGTGACAAAGATCCCCGAGCCGATGATGGTGCCAATGATCATGCCCACGCCGTTGAAGAGGGTGATGCTGCGCTTCAGTTCGATCTTCTGCCCTTCGCCGGGTGGTGGGTCGGACGGGCTTGAGGGGGCAGCGACCATCGGGGTGGATGGAGAAACTTTCTCAATGACTTGGCCGTCTTGGTCCGGGTTTGCTTCTGGTCCTGTGAAACGACGAAGAACCGAGAGGTTTAGAAGATGGCACCGATGGTGCCAACTACCTTGGCTAGCAAAGACGTAAGTGAGAAAGGGTTGCGGAGAGTCGCACCCAACCGTGTGGCACACCGAGACAAACAACACCTCACGCTCACAATCATACCGAGTGACACTTTTAGAGTGTTCCATTAAACTGCCACGTATGTTTTTGGAATTTGTGAGAAAACATGAGTACCCGGATAAAACCCACACAGGCACGGGGAGAACATGCAAACTCCACAAAGGATGGCCGGGGCCTGGAATCGAACCGTGCAACTCTGCACTGTGAGGCAGACATGCTAACCAGTCGATTGCCGTGCCGCTGAAAGCCAAAGGGAAAGAAATTCATTTCATGTGATGAGGAAAGCAGTATCTCCGAACTCCCTGCTCATTCCAATGAGCTGACAGTCTTAGTGTGTACACCAGAAATGCAGTAACAGGCAATCTTGCTGCACACTCACTGACCTTCCAAGAAGTATTAGTTAACAAAATGTGCATTTTTTTTTTTTTTTACCTTTTAATAGTCGTTCTCTTCTTTGTGTGCTGTATTTGCTTATTGGTTCAGCATAATAAAAATCCAACGACCGTATTCAATATTTCCACAGATGATTAAAATTGTGTTCCACTGTACAAGTGAAGAAGAGTGAATTGTTGCTCTGGGATTCACCTGTGAAGATCTGTATGAAGCCAAAGAGGATGATGATGATCAGTGCGAGCAGCTTGGAGACAGTGAACAAGTCTTGGACCTTGGTGGCGGCTCTCACGCTGATGCAGTTGACAAAAGTCAGGGAGGCTGCAAGAGGGGAGGAGTGATGAGAGACTGAAAGCTCTTCTCCAAAGTGACAAAGACTGAGCGGTTTGTAGATTTTTTTCAAATCTGTACTTTTCTGCGGCATTTCATTTTCAGTTTTTTTTTTTTAATTTATTCCCTACATTTGAAAAGAGATTCTCTTTACTTTATCAGCATATGCTTGTTGCTTTTTTTCAACGGCTCCGGATCACGACACGATGTGCAAAAGATGTAAATGGAGAGCGCTAACCGTGGTTGAGATACTAAAAGTTCTTAAACACTTACAAAGCGGGAAAAGAAATGGGACAAACTTCTCATCAAAACCGATTACAGTTGTCTGTTTTGATGCTCCCTCTTCCCATTTTATACTTTATCTCACTGCGCAAGTGCAGACTTGAATTGGGAAAGCGGCAGCAAAATAAACTCGTTGGCGCGGTTGTAAGTGTGGAGCGGAAGAGATGAGGAGGTGAAAGGAAAGCAAACTTTTTTTTTTCACAACTACAAAGAGAATGCAGTGGGGAACAAGTGGAAAGTGACAAGTGATGCTTTTCATCACGAAAACGTGAGTATGAAATCGGTCAAAATAATCATGTGTTGATTAAGGGTCTTTATTAATTCCAGAAAGAGTGTCATTAGAAGGATTTTTAAGGATTTTATCGACGTTAGGAAATTGGAAAAGATGGTGACAGTTACATGACCATATTTGTCACCTCACATTTTTTAGTTGAGGATATAGACATTTATATTTACATTCTGGTGAGAAATATTCACGAGACGGTGACAAAGGGTAAAAATATGGTTATGTAACTGGGAACTTAAGCTAACAGATTGAATTTTTCTAGCCATGGACATCCCTTAATTTAGTACTTTTTTTTCGACTCTATTCACAACATTAGCAAACCGTTGTTTGAGTAGCTAGTTCGGAACAACACCTAACTGGCGCATCTTTTGTTTTTGCTCAAGTTAACATTCACATGTGAGTTAATAAAAGAAGAAAACTATGTGTTTTTTTGTGCCAAACTATTCAAATTGATATCATTCATAAGGGACGGTTTAAAAAAAAAAAAAATCGGATTAACTTTTATACATCAGTAGACCTAAATTTCAGTCTTTTTTTTCCTGTTTCTGAACTTGAACTTCAGTACAAAGTGTGAGCGCTATAACTCCCTCTGTGCTTCCTAATGTACTCACTGAGACACAGGCAAGCGATGAGCTTGGCGGCGCTGTCGGGCACGCTACAGCTGGGGTAGATCGGTTTGAGGAGGTACGTGGCAAACACCAGCGACACCACATACTGCGACGACGGCCGGATGATGAGCATCTCCACCCACAGTTTGAGGAAGGCGGCCAGCTCGCCGTACACCTCCAGGATATACGTGTAGTCGCCGCCGGACTTGGAGATGGTGGTGCCGAGCTCGGCGTAGCAAAGCGCCCCCATGGTGGAGATCACCCCGCAGACGGACCAAATGATCAAGGAGAGTCCGGCCGAGCCCGTTTCTTTCACGACGCCCGTCGGCGTGACAAAGATCCCCGAGCCGATGATGGTGCCAATGATCATGCCCACGCCGTTGAAGAGGGTGATGCTGCGCTTGAGTTCGATCTTCTGCCCTTTGCCGGGTGGTGGGTCGGACGGGCTTGAGGGGGCAGCGACCATCGGGGTGGATGGAGAAACTTTCTCAATGACTTGGCCGTCTTGGTCCGGGTTTGCTTCTGGTCCTGTGAAACGACGAAGAACCGAGAGGTTTAGAAGATGGCACCGATGGTGCCAACTACCTTGGCTAGCAAAGACGTAAGTGAGAAAGGGTTGCGGAGAGTCGATTCTGCCGTTTTCTTTCTTTCGAATTGGTATTTCATATTTCATACAGAGCAGTCATTGAATTGAAAGTGTCTTCATGCAATTCTACAAACAAATTGTGTTTTCTGGGCACTTTTATTAGCCACCTGTGCTATGTTCGTCGTCACACAAGGACCTACTTACCGCAAAATGTAAACAATATCACCGCTGTGTGTGACCAATGCTGTGTCCTTACTGTCATATGTTAAATGTCCATCATGCAGTCATTCATATTTATAGTGTACAAAAAATGGGGACGATGACTATGCTTTGCAATCAGTTTCTGATTCTATGAGTCGTCTTTTAATGTGAGCATGTGAATAATCTGAAGGAGTTGTGACCCATCCAGTGGTCTCCGCGAATGATTCAAAGCATCAAATGGCCGCTTTTGCGTCAATATTTATAGATCGAGAAACAACACTGATGTTCACATAAATCTTGCGGCCGCCTGTTAAAAGGAGCTCAGAGGAGGAACAAAAGAGAGTTTTGGTAAAATGCAAATGAAGTGCAAATTTAGACACAGCTTCACCTGTCATGCGAAAATGCACATACCTCCCTGAGGCATCACCTTCGCCTCACAACAGTGCGTCACGCCACGCTCAACTATTCGTGTCGCCCTGCATCATGTGTAGAAGTGTGTGTTGTGTTTTGGTGTGGCGTGGAGTGGAGTGGACCTACCCTCCATCTTTTCCTTGGCAATGCTCTCCCGACTGCTGCGTAATTTCAGCTCAGGCTCGGCCATTATTTCCCTCCGGTCTGTGTCGTCTGGTTTAATTTTGCTGCTCCTTCTTTTCTTCTTGCCTTTACGTCCTCTTCTCCTCCTGTCTGGCTTTCCTCTCTCTCTCTCTCTCTCTCTCTCTCTCTCTCTCTTACATGCACACAAACACACACTTAGACACGCACGCTCTCCCCGGTGTTCTCCCTCTCCTCATTTGTTCTCATTCACTCACACACACGCACACACGCACACACTGCATGTCAGTCTAGCTAACCAGACTCCATCTGACCCTGATCCTCTCTGCCTCTCCCTCCCTCCCTCACCCCCTGCCTTCCACCTTGTGATGCTGCGGTAGCCTCCGCCCACTCCTGCTAAATGATGGCCGAGCAGAGAGGGAGGTTGATGATGAGGGAGGGCGGGGACGTTGGGGGTGGCGGCAGTTTGAGTGTGTCGAGCGGGGTTACTAGCAGACACATGTGACGTTTTAATCTATTTGTGCACCGCTAGCTAATCCAGACGCACAGTCTGCTCACTGTGTGTGTGTGTGTGTGTGTGTGTTGGACAAATATGGAAAAATCATTTTTGACTCAGATTGAAATCCTGATTCACAAAACGATTATTCATTGACTTCATCAGAGCCTCAAGCCCATTCGTCAGTGCATGTTGAACAATTTATTCCTGAACACTCTGATCTTTTTGTCAAGCACAAAATGACCTGATAATTAAAATGCGAAATTCAAGCGTCTTGCATTTTCATTTTGCTCCATCCACACCTCTGTGAAAGTCAAAACATGAATAAGCATCTCTCTTATCGTTTTATAATTTGTTATTGTACCTTTATTTTCTACAAGTCTTGGGTATTCTGGTTCCAGACCAGTCCGGAATAGGAGCGGATCCCACAAATGCAGACCACGAGAAAATCGAATACAAAAATGGTTTATTTACCAAAGAAGGTCACGAGACTGACAAAGTACAATATAAAACGCTGGTAACAAAATAACCAGGATAAGAACGAATATAAGCATAAGCAACAGTAAGGGAAATCAATAACGCAAAACAAGAAAAACCAAAACCACCCAGGGTCTATAAACAAGAACGAGGCAAAAGTGGAATAAACAGGAAATACAAACCCAGACTATGACTGAGACTGTTATAGAGTACAACGAAGGTCAAGAAAATAAGCACTTGGGCATGGGACATGAGCAAAGCCGATATTCCAAAAACAGGTGATGGCTGAACAGTCCCCAAGACCAGGTGAGAGTTGATGACATGATGCGAAACAGGTGCAGAATGAGAGGGGGCGACCCTCCAATGCCACCTGCTGGAACAGACAGAACAGCTTCAAGACATTCGGGCTGATTGGACTAACCTGGAACCTTGACGATTGTGTTTGTGACATATCTGGAAAATTGTGTTGTTATAACAAAAAAAAAAAAATACTTTTTACACACACACACACACACACACACACACACACACACACACACACACATAAAGGCCTTATATCTTTGGCACGGTGGGGACTGGTTAGCACGTGCGCCTCACAGTGCAAAGGTGCAGGGTTCAATTCTGGCTCCGGCCTTCCTGTGTGGAGTTTGCATGTTCTCCCTGTGCATTCATGGTACTCTGGTTTTCTCCTACATTATAAAAACATCCATGGCAGGTTAATGGAGCACTCTAAATTGTCCCGAGGTGTGAGCGCGGATGGTTGTTCGTCGATGTGTTTCCCTGCGATTGGCTGGCAACCAGTTCAAGGTGTCCCCCGCCGACTGCCAGAAGACGGCTGCTATAGGCTCCAGCCCGCCCCATGACCCTTGCGAGGATAAAGCGGATTAGATAATGGATGGATGGATGGATGGATGGATGGATCTTTGAATCCTTGAATTTTGAGGAAAGTAAAATTCCTTGAATCCTTGAAAACGCAACATTAAATTTTACTTAAAAGGACGAATAATTAACGAGTAAAATAAGACTAGACTAAAATAAGAGCAATTAAAAACAATAACTAAAAACCAATGCAAAATGCTCCTGCTGTCTATCTTTCAGATTTTCATACATCACCTGAATATATTGATGCATTTCCCGACAGGCATAAAGAAGGCTCGTTTTTAATCAGAATTATTTCAAGTTGTGCCATGTTTTTCAATTAGATTTAAACTTTTATCGTTTTATAGCCGTTAGGTGGGCAATTTAGCACCATCGTGTGAACTTTTCCTTTCACCGACAAAGTTAACCTTTAAAGTAAATGTCTGCAACATGTCGAGACTATGAATGTGTAATGTGAAAATTATACATCGTATATTCGAATATCAGCTATTTTATTTGTATCTTTAAACTCATGGGATACACTGAATCGTGCTGTAATACGTGTTCGCAATTCCCATCATGCATTGTAACATTCACGGCACAATTGTATTGAAGACTTTGAATAACAAGACACGCGTACGCAAGAAAAAAAACATGCAAGGAAAAAAAACGATTTTCAACAAAGAGAATGATCATCGAAATATATTTAGACATACGCGACCAAATCGGCACCGTTGCATAAAAGTGTGACAGTATACGCCTGTAATAAAATCATGTGGTGTGCTGTCACTCCTTCCGTGGGAGGAAGCTCATTGTAGAGGTCACGTGCAGAGTGCTCGTCACTCCACCAATCACCTCGGGGAAGGTCTGAGACAAGAGCCAATTGTCGCTCTCGCAGGGCGTCACCTGATTCGGGTGGGCGAGTCAACAGAAAATACTGGTCACTGTGCTGTCGTAGCAGGAGAAGCTAGAGGGCGCTTTTTCCCAGCGTTTCTAGTGGATGTGACGCACGCTTGACTTGGAACGACTCGCGGCTGGCAAATGAGTTCGATGGATGAGGTGGAGCACGACTCCAAAACCCAATTCAGACTACTCTCCTCCCACTTTTGCACTTTATTTTGTTCCATGTATCAATTTTTACAGGAATTGACAAAAAAAAAAAGAGAAACAAATTTTAAAAATCAAATCATATCTGACGTCTGTCTCAATATGTTTTTGAAATTTTAACTGCTTCCAAAGATGTGGAACTTCTACATTGTTCTGAAATTGATGTGAGGTGCAGAAAGCAGCCAGCAGGCCACAGGGGTATTTCTAGATCTCTGAGGACCATAGACCCCCCCCCCCCAAAAAAATAGGACAATGACGCAACTATATATTTTATTAAATATCTGTAATTGTGGCCTCGAAAAGGTTTTCCGGTTCTGTCGACAATATGAACCTATCTATATTCATGTTTTCATGTTCAAGAGAAACGTTGAAAACAAACCAACATGTTCACTTGTGTGTATTAAATAGGTCCTACGTTGAGTTGATTGTATATAATGAAATAATCCATATTTTCAAAATTAGAATTAATCGTTCAAAAAAGAGATTGTTTTACATTTCTGCAATTGGCTGGTGGGTGACCTCTTGCCCAAAGACAGCTAACCAGTGAGGATAAGAATCTACGAATGGCCCATATGTTCCTTTTAAAAATCAAACGTGGCATTCAGCACAAACGCGCAAATAAATGTATTCGTTTTTTTTTTTTTTCATAAACTGTTTCGTGTTCATGTATCCGTTAAACAAAATGTGCATTCGGAGATTAAGCCCCGTTCAGTCAACGCATTGTTGCACTCTTGCATTCCTGTTGTATGTGACGAAGTCGACTCAGCGGTGCCAAGCTCAGTTCCATGTGAACGTCTCCGCTCAAGGTAGCCTACCGAGTCGACAGCCGCTCTACGCGGTGCACTTTCTGCTTTGTGTCCGGGGACTTTCCCCTGAGCAAATTGTTGAGAAACATGTTCTCTGTGTGTAGCTCAGAGTGCAAGCCTTCTGAATGCCCGGATATAACAAGGGTGGCCCCGTCAGTAGAAATAGAATGAAAAACAATCAACATTTTTACTCACGGTTTTACAATAGCAACTTGGATTATGAAAGCCATATACGAAAGGACAAAAATCACGTTTACATGCTACTTTGACGGATAAAAATCATAAAAATCACGTCAACAGATTTTGGGTAAACTTAGCAAAACACAGGTTTAGGCCGAACTGAATTGTGGGAAATACAAAGCTCGACCATTCCTTTTGTTTCCGCGAGAGATGTCAGCGAGCATACACATTTTAGACATTACAGTACAGCATACAGTTCAGTATAAATAGACGCCTCGTTGAGCGTGTTGGCCTGTAGACATATATACACAAATATAGCAAATATCCGCATAACCCCATTGCGTCATACGTCAGCGCGTCCGCCATATTGGAAGTGGATGGGGCTATACTGTATAGTTGACTAGAAAAGAGCGTTTTGAGAGCACGTACAGGTAGTTAGTCCAAACCAAATTGATACAATTGAAAATGCAGGCTAATATAATATCTCTGATCAAACAACACAGAGACTTTCTGAAGAAATAATGGGCCAGCCCAGCCGGATGATCCCTTTAGGAAACATCAGCAGTGTTGGCTACTCATTTGCACGTAACTGATATTAATGAATCACACAAGGAGTACTACGAACGCGAGTACAGTACAGTACCGTAGTCCAGTAAATTAATGGTACTTGACAGACATACCCACTATTCCCAGCATGCATTGAAACAATTACGGCTTCGTCGTGTTTTAACGTTACGGTTTAAAAGCAAGTAACGTGTATGTGCCTCATTTATAAAAATATGGCTGAACAAGAAATAAACTTATTAAAATAATACTGCATAGACGTACATTAATAGTATGGCACCGTGGCAGAAAAGCATTCTGTTTTGGATTATTTTAAAAACGTTTTGTGACCACTCGTCACTTCCATGGGAGGAAGCTCGTTGTAGAGGTCACGTGCAGAGTGCTCGTCACTCCACCAATCACCTCGGGGAAGGTCTGAGACAAGAGCCAATTGTCGCTCTCGCAGGGCGTCACCTGATTCGGGTGGGCGAGTCAACAGAAAATACTGGTCACTGTGCTGTCGTAGCAGGAGAAGCTAGAGGGCGCTTTTTCCCAGCGTTTCTAGTGGATGTGACGCACGCTTGACTTGGAACGACTCGCGGCTGGCAAATGAGTTCGATGGATGAGGTGGAGCACGACTCCAAAACCCAATTCAGACTACTCTCCTCCCATTTTTACTACATGAGCATACTGATGCCTTATTGGTAATGTTAATAAGTATCTCACTTAAGGCTACAGTTTCATTAAAAAAAAAAAAATAGTATCATGGGTTCTCATTTCAAACCTTTTACGTCACCCCTCAATGCCATTTGAATTGGTGTATTTTTTTTAAACCATTCTGCCAAAATATTCATGACATTCATTGCATTCCCTTTTCCCACCAATGTCAGCATGTCAAATTTGACAATAGACCTATTCTTTATTCTTTATTATGGTTTGTAAGTATTATGAATAATATATTGAACACTGCGAATGAACATGACTTATTAAGTGGATTCCTTTACTGCAGTAATTCAATACTGCTGTATCATGCCGAAAAAATGCAAAATATATATATATATTTTTTTTTGAGAAACAGCACGATGAAGTAAGTCAACGTCACATTTTCAGATGTCTTGAAATATCTCAGTTTCAAGAAAATAACAAAGTGGCTAGTACAGTGGAACATTTTGTGCATGTCATTGATTTTATTTCATGCCAAAAAAAACAAATGATACATACCAAGTTCACATTATTGCTAGGGGGGAGGGGGGGACAGTCCGTGCATTACTTGTCTTTCGATGACGTATCATGCATGGACCGTGAGAATGCCTGTTTGTCAAATTTCATAAGGAGTAACCATCACACTGTACATTGGACTTTCTGAATCTTCAACTATATTACTTACACATGACGACTGTACACAATGGACTTCTATTCTCTTACGTCATCATACAGAAAACGTCCTGCTCCAAATATATAAACAAAACATTTATTTGCATGTCTCCTGCCTGCATGGTTACACACGCAACTGTAAAATACTGGCGCTTGACGCTCATGTAATTTGGATATGCAATTGATATTCTATTTAAAGTGACATTCTTGTTGAAGATACATTTACGATCTACGATAAATGTATAATTTTGAACAAATATAGGTCGGTCGAGGTTTACTAAAGTGCAAGAGTGACAGAGTTTAGATAGAGGTGGACATTTTTTGTATCACATATACTGTATATTTTGTTACATATTTTTATTATTGAGTCCTATTCTTGACCAAGAGGTTTTTTTTTTCCTACCAGCAGTTAGATGTGAGCTAGATAAAGAGACGACAGCGCACCACATCACAAAGAGGACAAAATGAAATCAAATTCACATGTTATTTACTCTTTCTGTTGCATCCTGTATTAAGGGAAAACATGATGACTGGTTGGCGTTTTATCTATTTAAAATGTAAGATGAGAACAACAGTTATAAGAAATCATGCAATTCTTTTTTTTTTCCCCCCTGTTCCAATTTCTTGTGCTTCTATTAAATCAGGAGTAAGAAAAGTACCACATCAGCACTGATGCTGATCGCTCCATAAAATGTTGCACTCCATTCTATTCATGTCCTTTTCTTTCTTTTTTTTTTTTTTTTTTTGGACCTTGAAGCACGTTCCTTCTGCCCATCACGCCTTAAGGAAAATCAGAATTTACAGAAGAGAGCAACAACAAACAACAACAATAATCCCCTTTGTTCCCCATTGGTGCCGATCTGAAGAAGCGTCGCTGCGTCAGTTGTTGTTCATAATCCACCAGGAAGCTGACGAAGAGAACGATATCATTTTCATTATTTGCCACTATTAAAATTAGTCCACAGGTGTCTTTGAAATGCTTTCGTCAAAAGATATTATCCATGAGTAGAATGACCCCAATTTATCTTAACTGGTCCAAAATTGATCATTTATTTGCGGCAAAAAACATATTTATATTTGCACTTCTATTTATTCCAGTGGCAAACACTGACAGAGAGGACAATGAAATGCTCTTCCACTTTTTTTTTTTCCCCCTGACGTTTTTGCTTGGTGGTGTGCTGTGAGGTTTTTCGATTTGCCTTGGTAAACACTGACAAGGTGCAGAGAAGGTCCTCAACTCTCGGTGGTAATTGCTGTTCAAGTGTCTGTCGTTGTTTTGGATTACCTGGAAGGAGCATGGTAGAGATGATCTCTTGCTCCTCCAATGAGTCGATCACGCAGCGTTGAAACGTCTTACTGATGGATGATTGCAGGAAGCTAAGAGGAAAAGATGCGGAAGATTGGCCTTTGTTTCGAAAAGACCCCTCCTTTTTTGGGGGGGGGTGGGACGGGACTTGAGAGTTGACATTTGAAAATGTGCGGTTTTGCGCCCTCACCTCATCCAGGAGAGACGATCTTGCCAAAATTCGTACATGATGAAGCATGATCTGTCGGGCAAGTTCTGGACGGAAATGCTTGAGAGAGAAGAAGGAGGGGGAGAAAAACAAGTGAGAAAAAGCTTCAGTCATTACAGCCGGGTCGGAAAGTAGACAACGGACTGACTGCAGGTTGTTTTGCTGTCCGCTGCTGGCCTCCGTGTAGCTCTTCAGAGCATGCTGGAACTTTTCCACATCACATTCCTTCACTGACATTTGTCTTTGGACCAGGAGGATGTTCTGGGTGGGCGAGAAAGCAAAACAACCACATTAGCATCATCAGAAAGTGCCGTCCACTGTCGAATAACTTCAAACTAAGAACACATCACACGCGGCAACAATGCTGTCATTGGAAGGTAGAACTAAAACGTATGTAAGAAGCGTAAAGCTGGCTGACTCACCGATTTATATGTCCCTGCCAGCGTGTCTTCTTTAAGGGGTTCGAGATGCGGACTCTGAAGGTGCGAGCAGAAATAAGTGAGTCATGCACAAGCAGTAGCACGATTATGATTTGCAAGCCAGACACAAACCTTTGGCCCTCACAGATTACCGGTAAAAAAAAAAAAAAATCAAGCACTTGGCAAATATAATAAAATATCATGACGGGAGTGGTAGCATGCAAGCTCATTTCCATGCATTGCTCGTACAGCTGTTGAGGGTGGCGGATGCACAGAGTTGACACTCAACTATCGACAGTGCATCCCGTACAAACCTCACACTCCAGCTTGTCTATGAGCTGCTCCAATTGGCCGACCTGGGCTCCCCAGTGGTAGTCGGACTCCACGCTGACCCCTGAAACACAACATCAACACAGTTCTGCACTTGTAAGTATTCCTGTTAATCGCCATCCAGCCATTTTCCGATCCGCTTATCCTTACAAGGGTCGCGTGGGGTGCTGGAGCCTATCCCAGCTGTCTTCGGGGGTAGGCGGGGGACACCCTGAACCTTTCGCCAGCCAATCACAGCGCGCATTGAGACGAACAACCATCTGCGCTCACACCCACACCTATGGACAATTTAGAGTGTTCAATCAGCCTGTCATGCATGTTTTTGGAATGTGGGAGGAAAAACCAGAGTACCCGGAGAAAAGCCACGCAGGCATGGGGAGAACATGAAAACTTCACACAGGGAGGCCGGAGCTGGAATTGAACCCGGTACCTCTGCACTGTGAGGTTGACGCGCTAACCAAAGGACCACCGGGCCGCCCTTGTTAGTCGCCAGTTTCCCTGAAATTCAACATCGTAATGGGGATGGCGGGACCCACCTGTGGTCAGCATGCCGGAGTAAGGGTCTGTCGGGGAGAGACACATGTTCTTCTGGATGCGCCGTTTGGAGACCCTCTGGATGGGCAGGTCCTCGGGCTTCTTCACGGACCTTCTCCCTGTGCAGCCTTGATCATGGACGGCCTCCATAGCGCAGTCTAGTGATGACTGCAGGGACTGCAGCTGGGTGGAGGTTTCCCGAAGCAGGAAGCGTGTTACAAACTGACCCAGCACCGAAGAGCCTTGATACTCCTGCACGGTGGGGAGGGGAAAGAGAAACATGAAAAAGGGACAGATAAAGCAAACATTCAGATTTTATTCGGCATCATGACGCTTAATTCAGCGGCATATGGTGGTTAGCACATTTGCCTCACCGTTTAAGTTTGAATCCCAGCTCCCTCTCTTGTGGAGTTAGCATGTTTGTGTTTTTTGGTGGGTACTCCAGTTTTCTCCCACATTCCCAAAACATGCATGTTAGGTTTATTGAAGACTTTAAATTGCCTGTTGGCGTGACTGTAAGTGTGAATGGCTGTTTGTCTTGACTCGCGGCCCATCCACAGTTTACTCTGCCTTTGCCTCAAAGTCAGCTGAAATTGGCTCCTGCTTACCCAGAATCCAAATGACGACAAGCCACATAGAAAATCAATGGAAGGAAAATATATTGCTATGTACTGCCACCACTCAAACAACCCCATTCTAACAAATAAATCACAACAACTTGCTCAAGGGCCTGTGAGCTGCAAACTAAATTAAATTAAAGCAGAACGGCATGGACAAAAAGCTTTAATCTTCACAGAAAGTGGCAATGCATCACCGGCAGTCTTTCCACCAAATCCTTGTTTCTCAAGGTGAAAAGAGTGGCAGAGCTACAGTCATTTTTTTTTTTTTATAATCTTCCTTATTGCTTTTTTTATATTCTACAAAAGAACATTAAGGTAGGCTGCTGCTGAGACCGAAAGCCATATCGCAATGCTCGGTGCTTGAGTTCATGAATGACACTCTATTCTGGAAACAATATGAGCAATCGAGAATGAAACATGTATGTATTTGGAATGTGGGTGAAGCAGGAATACCTGGAGAAAACCCATATGAGCACGGGGAGAAAATAGAAGCTCCACACGGTAAGGCCATGACATCAGATGAGTCCGACAGCTGTGCACTTTGTCAGCTTTTGTTAAAGTCGTTGATGCACCACTACCGTGCAGTGACCTTATAGTCTCTCGCTCTTACTGCTCTAGTGGCGAGAACGCAGCACCCTGCAGACTCGGTATCGTGAAAATGTCATCATTCATGCGGGAGGTACGTTCCAGACACACTGGCAATAGGCGAGAAGCCGTGACGTTTGTGAAACACAACGTGTAATGAACATAGCTTGTCTTGGCGTTACATAAGGGGGACGACAAAGCCGCGCTATTGATTTCGTCTCAGTTTAAGTTCTTTGAGGTCGCGCGACACCGCGATGGCGGAAAACTACAAGCGCAGACCTTTAATCGACTCTACGGTACATCTCATGAAATATACATCCATGACGGGAGTCTAAGCGCTCCAATTAACACGTGCCGCCCTCCAATGGGGACCATTTGATTATTTTTCACTTTTTAATTTATACTGGAATGTACATACAATTCTTACACATTCTAACAATAGCTAGATTCCGATGAGTACTCCTGGAAATACTTTTTTTTTTTTTTAATTATTCTGTCCTTATATAAGATTTTTGCATGTGTAATATGTGCAGCCCGGACAGTGAAGCATTTCTGGGGGATCAAGACATGAAAAAAAAAGTACTACATGAAATGTTTTTTTTTTTTTTGGGGGGGGGGGGGGTTGCATCATGACATGAAGATCATTGACATTTGTAATTGGGCCCCTTTGTGAAGACATTCTAAGGAACCTTTAAGGAATTTGCTAATAAATGTTGACGTACTGAGATGTTGTCAATGTCAAGGAAGCGTGACATCAATGTTGTTTGATGATCTCTGAATTTGGGGGAGGAGTTAAGGTGTGAAGTTATTTTTTTTCCATTTCAAATGAATTGACATGATATCAAAGAAGTTGGTATTCTTGGGAAAAAATCAAATAAAATAGGTCTACTTACTTAAGTGCTCAGAAAGAAAAAATAAGGTCCACTGCAGTGAGATTTTACTTGTTCAGTTGACTAGTCTGCGGTCTAAAGAAGACCAACCCATTCAAACAATAATTTGAGTTCCAAGTTGGACGCACATAATTTTCCAAACATGTCTTGTTGAAGAATGAAGGTATCGAGGGGAATCAATGGCCCCATAATTCAGTATGCCCCAATACTGTCGTCCATACAGTAAGCACAATTCTGATTTGCAAAAAGGTTAAAGCCACTCACCTCTTTAGTTTTATCCATTGCCTTTAAAATAGCCACATTTAGCTTCTCAAGCGCAGACAGCACGTTGATGTACTCTCCCACATGTGGACTGAAGTACTCTGGAAAAAAAAAAAGGACACGTGTATTTATAATGTGCTGAGTTGTGGAAAAAACGCCGACATGCAGAGTCAAATAAGATTTTGAGGATTATGAAGACCATTAAAAAAAAAAAAAAATGTACCTGACAGTTTGTCGATGTCCATGTTCCTGTGGAGAAACAGAGAAGACTAAAGACCATTTCAATTGAGCTCACTGATATCATGTATCTGTTTAAAAAAAGAGCAGACACTTTATTGGGGGACACCTGCACGGTCGAATGTGATCCAGGACAAAAAAGAGTTTTGGAATGCTCAGGTTTGACTGATACGCTTATTTCTGCGGTTGTAGTTTGTAATTAGTGTTCCGTAATACTGAATAAAGACCTGTTGGTCTCATTCAGAATGATGCATTATTATTTCTGCACAAAACAAAATTTTTTTAATTGGAACTGATTAGAATGTCTACCGTGGACAGTTGCTTTATAAATGATGCTATCGTAAAAGATTGAGGTCACTGTGAATGAAAAGGTGCTTCACGGCTCATCGCTTATTCAGTACTTCAAGCAAACTTTAACTTTGGTTTGAGAGGCAAGAAGGGCGGCTTATGTGTCGCATGGACATAATATTGACTTAATGAATATGGAGATGCGAGGCGGGCTGCGGGACGCACTGTACAGGTGGCAAAAGTAGGAGGAGCTCACTCGGCATTCTGTCTGTCGATGGAGCGATAAAGCTCCTGCATCTGCTCATCTGTGAGGACCCCGTCATTGAAGTATGACTGGAACTCCTCCAAGGACAGCTTCCCGTCATCTGAAAGGCACACAAGACCGTGACAATGTCACGATAAAGCGACTCAGTTGACCGTGCACACGTTCATGAAAAATCCAGGTCAGCTTAACTGGAGTGAATAAATAGCAAAGGAAAGGCGAGAGTCGATATGATTCTCAGTGGCTGGCTAAACGACACATCATAACAAGAGCTGCTTGTCTCATTTGTCGTTTGCAGAAAAAAAAAAGGTTTATTTGATTCGACTGGCCTTACGTTAATTCCTATGCCAACACGAAAAAAAGAGACCTTAAAAGGCATTTTTGTTCTCTCTCTCGACGTGCATAAGGTTTGAGAAAGTTTTCTTTTTCAACTAACCTGAATCGCAGTTGACAAGGGCGAAAACGTGTTGACAATGATCCACAAATGCTATTGCTAACACAACATGAGGTGACTTATTATCACAAGTACTGTAAGTCTGTTTTTGTGATTTTTGGCTTGTCCCAGCTGGGGTTGCCACATTATGTCACGCGCAGGATTTGTTTGGCACCGTTTTTATGCCAGATGCCCTTACTGACAGTACCCGATCTTTTTTTTGTAAATCCATGCTTGGGACCAGCAGTGGCAGCATTCGAGACAGCAGGATGTCCTCCATTGCCAGTGCTTACAAGTAATTAAGTAATCAAAATTTATTCAGGGAACACTTTTGACATGAAAAAGTGCTTTTAAAATATAGACTCACAAACGCAGCGGCATAATACAACACACACACAAAATCAAAACAATCAAATGTTATTGGAATGGCTGTCTCAGCAAATAATGATTGTCCATGATTGTCTCTTACAAAAAAATGTCGACAGAAGAGAACATTCTAAGCTCAAATGGAAGTGCAATTTGACAGGAAAGGACTGCAAGTGCTTCAGAACATATTCCTGAAGGATGAATTGACTTGAAATGTGATTCTTTAATAAAGCTCAGTTAATTTCAGCTAGTATTCATATCAGGAGATGCTACAAGTAATATTAATATCAGCATACTGAATTTCTCTACCAAAGGTTAAGTTTCAAGTTTTGATGTCACTTAACCGGATTGTGGATTTTGACTTGGTTTGAGACGCTGTTCAAAAACCCACCCACCACTTTTATAGTGTTGAAAAAAACCAAAGTTTTTTGCGTGTCTTCATTTCTTAACTTTTACCTTGAGCATCTGCTATGCGTTTAATGCCGCAAGATGTAGGAGGAAGTTGGACGTGACTCATTCTGCAGCCTTTCTCCACCATCTGATTCTCACGAAATTCAACTTGAGAATTGACAAGCCTGGGGTGGCACATTAACCGAGCGCTTGCCAAAGAGAAATATGGGAGGGGGGGCAGACCGGGCGACCCTGACTACACAATCTGTCAATCTTGCACCTTGGAGGCACGACAACGATGAGCCCATCAATGCAATGCGATGTGTACTTTGTCCAACACTAAAGTTATTGTCTTCATTCATTCATGTACGCTCCTGCATATTGTGAGATCCAGGAAGAGAAGATGCACATTTGACACCGCGGCGATTTAAAGAGCCACCATTCACATTCAAGTCAAGAGACTTCAGAACCTCACACAAGAGGCAAGACGACGCATTGAGCTCTCCCCACTGTCTCACGTTGCATAAACTCCAAATGCACCTGCAATACGATCCATGCGTCTTACCTGGAATATATTTTCTTCATGGAATTGAAAATCACAGGGGTCAAACTCAAGGCCTGGGGGCCAGATCTGGCCCACCATATCATTCTGTGTGGCCCGCGAGAGCAAATCAAGCATGTCAACTTTTCCATGATGCCTGCTGAAGTCTGAACCAAAATGTCAAATTTGTCATCTGTAATCCATCATGATATATATTGCATGATCTCATTACGTACTTATTACATTAACAGAAACAATGGCTGAACTAGGGCGGCCCGGTGGTCCAGTGGTTAGCGCGTCGACGTCACAGCGCAGAGGTACCGGGTTCAATTCTAACTCCGGCCTCCCTGTGTGGAGTTTGCATGTTCTCCCTGGGCCTGCGTGGCTTTTCTCTGGGTACTCCGGTTTCCTCCCACATTCCAAAAACATGCATGGCAGGCTGATTGAACACTCTAAATCAGGGGTGTCAAACTCATTTTTGTCGCGGGCCACATTGTCGTCACTATTTCCCTTGGGGGGCCGTTATGACTGTTAAACCATAGAAATAAGTCAACTACTGTCATGAGGGGTTTGGTAACAAGAAAATGCGAACAATATCTCTCTTATTTTGGTCCAGATTTTAGCAATCAGCGTAGAAGTTGACATGGTTGATTTGCTTTCGCGGGCCACAGAAAATGATGTGGCGGGCCAGATATGGCCCCCGGGCCTTGAGTTTGACACCTGTGCTCTAAATTGTCCCGAGGTGTGAGTGTGAGCACGGATGGTTGTTCATCTCTGTGTGCCCTGCGATTGGTTGGCAACCGGTTGGGGGTGTCCCCCCGCCTACTGCTCAAAGACGGCTGGGATGGGCTCCAGCCCCCCCCCCCCCCCGCAACACTTGTGAGGACCAAGATTGCTGTGAAGTGTGTTGATGCGCCGATCAAAACACCTCCTCGTTATGTAGCAAATGTAGCCTACTCCTTGCGAATGATGGGCAGCCCACTCAGTGCTGACTTGAGGGAGAAAAAAAGCACCTCCCTTTCAACTCCTCGCAGACGGTGTGCATATAAGCTGCGAAGTGAAGATAGCTCACACAAACGAGCGACCGCACTCTCTTGTTATCCTTCCCTCTGTTCCCACACAGCAGGGAACCGGGAAAGGCGAAATGAGGAAACAGACTTGAGAGGATTCGCAGAAGTGTGTCATGTACCGCAGCTGCCCAAGTGAAGCCCAAATCATTTTCTGAAAGACGACTTCTGTGGAGTTTTTTTTTTTTTTTTTTACAACTGTCACCAATGGTGGAAGATTAGATGTTTCAGGCATCTGTAATGAAATGACTGAACATTTTTGATCACCTTTTATTTTTACTCCTTACCTATTCGAAAATACATCTCGACTTAGTTTCTACTAACTTTTGCCAAAACCCGTCCAATGATGACAACGTGAGACAATGAAAGTTAGTCGCACTTAACAGCTTGACTGAGTGAGATCAGGGGACAGCAACGACATGGAAAAAGGAGGAATGTGAACCAGGCAGCAGTGACAATGACAGCAGGATAGTTCACATGGCCTCAACTTGCTAGCTACAAAAATGACTCTGGGTTAATGTGTTGTGTTTTGTAACTTCTGGGATTCAAAATTCCCAGTCCAACCTGAAAAATGCATTTTTTTAGTTCACTGATTTCTCACGATCCATCCATCCATTTTCCGACCCGCTTTATCCGCACAAGGGTCGCGGGTGGATGCTGGAGCCTATCCCAGCTGTCTTCGGGCAGTAGACGAGGGACACCCTGAACTGGTTGCCAGCCAATAACAGGGCACACAGAGACGACCAACCATCCGCGTTCACGCTCACACCTAGGGACAATTTAGTATTTAATCAGCCTGCCATGCATGTTTTTGGAATGTGGGAGGAAACCGGAGTACCCGGAGAAAACCCACGCAGGCCCAGCGACCCTAGTGAGGATAAAGCGTCTCAGAAAATGGATGGATGTTATTACAGTATTACCAGTGGTTCACTTCTTTTTTACTGCACGTTTATAAAATTGGATCGGATTCATTTCATAACTTCATGCGTTGAAATCATCATTCTAACAATCATTAACGGGGTCTTTTGTAGTCATTTTCGTCATGTGCATTTCTGTTCCTGCGATTTCTCCCTGTCCTTTCTCTGTTGTGTGGTTTAGTTTATCGTTCTGGCCCAAATTACAAAAAGAAAATAGCATGACATGCTCGTTAAAAATTATTATTATTATTGATCTCGGGGGCAGCAATGATTGCTCCACATGGGGCTAAAGCAATAAGTGGTTATGAAAATGAGCGACAACAAAGGGGAAAGAATCCAATTCTGTTGATTTGTGTCACTTAGTCTGGATGTGTCTCGAGCTTAAAAGCAGCCTTCTGAATTTAGCTTTGTAGCAATAATTATGTACCGCGTGTGTGTGTGCAAAGACAAAAACAGATCATCCATGATTTGCGAAGCAAATCCCTTGAAGTAGCTGAAGATCCCCTCAAGCCTAGAATGTGTGCAGCTCATCACAACAATGCGGCACTATTAACAGGGGGGGGTTCTTATGTAACATATCCTCCTAAGAAGACTAAATGCACAAAACACTCACCCATTTACCATTTTGCATGTGATTACATGGAGTTCCAAGTGTGAATAGAAGATTAAGAGAGAAAACATTTCCCTTTTTGTCAGCGCCGTTGTTTCCTCTCCTTGTGGCCCATCGCTGCTGTTTCCCCCACGGGAAGGATTTGCTCTCCATCTAGGAGTTAAGTTGTTGGATTTTTTTTTCTACAAATGAAAGAGCGATGCTTACATTGAGTGTGTATCAAGTGTGAGCACATCTATCTGGTTTTTCTAATGAAGCCCTGCCAGGTTGAAACAAATCATCTCGCAGTCTTAATTAACATCCAAAACAAGAACGCAACCCAATTAACTGCGCTTTTTCTTACTCACCATTTTTGTCCGCCCGGCGAAATATCTGCAACAAAGAGGAGAAGATTGTGTTCAAGATATGGATGAAGAAAACGGTGATATATTAAAAAAAAAAAAAAGTTGAGAATAGTACACATAAATTGAAATCATGAGGCTCTCATCTCAGTTTATGAACAAATGTAGCACCACACTTTGAAACTGGGCCTGTTTATTGAAATATGAAACAATTACATGTGACTTTCATTGCTGACATCGATAACATATTTCTTTTTTACAGTTATATTTTACAGCTGTAATAAAGAATTTTGAGGGCCAATTGACTCCAAGCACGAAGTTCGTTAGAATCCAAACATTCAGTGCCAAGAATATGTTTTCTCATATTTTTTTAACATTTTTTTTTTCATTGGGAGGGGTAGAGAAGGGTCCGATTCTCTTCTCCAAGTAAACTTACGATTAGCTTCGCTTCTTCTACTGTGGACAGGCATCGCTAGTCGAACCAGCAAATACGATTTACTCATATCATTACATTAGTGACATATTTATGTCTGCAGATGTGTCCACTGCACACTCCCAGAGCACTAAGTCCACATTATGATCATTTTCCCTTGTCGTGTGTGTCATCTGTCCCATTTTAAAAAATGGTTTAAGATTATTATTTTTTTACCCCACTTTCATAGTATTGTTATAGTGACGGACAGAACAAGTTCATTCTCTTCCATTAAATGGCAACAACTTTTAAAACATTTCTGTTTGGTGGTATTTTGTGACATTTTCTGATGTCAGACGCGTGCCGTGTCTCAATAAAGCTTTGGAAACACCGGTTTAAGCGATGTCGTCACTTTCAGAGGATGATGGTGCGATACCTGGACGCCGCGCTATTATTGCCAGTCCTTTGAAACCCTCGAAAGTGCCAATGTAAGGTTTGACAACAAAGATGCCTCCAAAGGAGCCAAAAGCAAGTTTCTCCGTCAAAATTTTGAAGACGAAGTGATACAGTAAGGAGCGGCGGCCACTCCGGATTGTCATGTGTTCATTTCTCCTTCGTGCTTGAGTCGACGCAGGCGTCGTGCACCTACAGAGCTTATGAAGATCTTCGATAAAGCTCACACACTGTATAAAAAAAAAAACTCTTTCACCCTGGAGACACTGAATGCACCACTAGTGAGTCCTACTGAAGACAATAAAACCGCAGAAGCAGGAATGGAGAGAGCACGACTGAATCAGCCTCTGGAGAAATGAGTGTGCAATACATTTCTTGAAGGTGTGCAGTATAAGCCCCGCACAACTGTGAGTCCATTAAAATCAACAACGGGGGCTTCAAGTAGAATGAGTGGAAACACAAAGGGCTGCCAGACTTTACTAATGAGCGTGTAGCTTAAGAAGAACACAAAGCGCGGTGTAATAAGGAGGCACAAATAGGAACAGAATAACATATTCGGTGCGGGTGAAGAAAGGCTTCTTCGGTGTTCATTCCACTCTCACAGGCACAAACTTAAAAGATATTCCGTCGAGGCCCAGCAATTCTAATTTGATTTCGGTGTTCATTCCACTCTCACAGGCACAAACTTAACCAGCAATTCTAATTTGATATGCCTTTATAGATGCAAACCAAACTGCACATGCTTGAATTTTCTGAAAATGAATTTAAAAACAAATGAATTATTCACCGGAGAAAATGCCTAATTTTTATAATCACTGCGGCTGAGTGGGGAGCACGTTGAAATCACAGTTCTGAGGTTTGGGGTTCAAATCTCGGCTCCGCAGTGAAGTGTGCTCGTTCTCCCCGTGCACCGGTGTCTTTTCTGTGACTTCATTCCACATTCCAAAATCAAGTACTCTTGCTTCAAGTCAGCTGGGATGGACTCCAGGTCACTCACATTGAAAATGAGGACGAGCGCTATCGAAAATGAATGGATGGCTTTCATGGCATGTTCAGTTACTTTTAGTCACGAGAGTAATGTTTACGTCATAAGACTGGATGCCTCTGAAAGAATTTACATGCCTACAGACATCTCATTACCTCTGCGTCCCGCGTCCTAGACGCATGATTTTCCCGCCAGACGCACAGTTCCAAATAATGTGGTTTTTGGGACGCAAGGAAATTTCTTCGTCAAAAAAAAAAAAAACGACGGTAAATCTTTTTTTCCAGCAACGAACGCAGTTTGACAATCGCCAACCTTTGTTGTTTTGATCTCGCGTTAAGTAATCTCGCGTGATGAGATTTCTGTTCTCGCGATACGAGATTGGCGAGATCGGCCTTCACTTTGTGGAAAGCAGACGATTGCCAAGTTGTGTAACGTTAAAACAAGTGTTGTGAACAAGTGTTGCGAAACTTTATTGCGGAGATATGAACTCAGACTGAACCATGGGATGAAATAAGAACCTATTTCTCAGCAAATCTTGTATGCCTGAATTATTTAAAATTTTGCAGCATTTGTTTATAAGAAATAAACCTATTATCAATGTATATTGTTGTTGTTTGAGTTTTTATCACATGCAATTGAATAAGTAGACCATTTCAGAATTCGAAATTTGGGACTCTCTAAATGCATAATGGGGCTCATACTTTTCTGATCAGCGAGTCCCTGGGACTCGCAGGGCTCAATCTGTAAAATTATCACTGGCCTATCATATGTGTGTGTATGTGTGAGTGTGTGTGTGTGTGTGTGTGTGTGTGTGTGTGTGTGTGTGTGTGTGTGTGTGTTTTGTTATGGAGCATGACCTCCATAAATCATCGGCAGCCATAAAAGCTCCAGACATGATGAAAGGATGGTCATGTCAATCCATGGGCGTTTACATTTACATTTTTCATGTCGTAACAAAAAGAACAAGGTGCGAGGAAAGATGAATCATGGTTTTAAATTGGCGCCTCGAGAAACATGAGGGTACCTTAACCAATCGTATGACTCTTCCTTCACAATATGCAAAACATCGTGAACAAGCAGCCAACACACACACACACCTTTCTTACATAACGGGGCTGCTGTGCATCAGCTCCACATGAATGTAGTCTGATGGATTTGCACCATCATGATGAGCGTCGTACACAACTCCGCCCCCCACCTTCACCTTCCCTTTACATTTTTACCTATAAATTGTGACCTTGACTATCGCACGAAGACATGCAATAAATGACAAACACACACACACAAAAAAAAACAAGAAGCTCAAAGGTGCACTTACATCGTGGAAAAGCGATGCGGTGCGGTTGTGGTTGTGATCACACTCCTGCTGCTGCTGCTGCTGCTGTTTGCTGAGGTGTTGCCGCTTGGCCGATTGCAGACACATCGTGATCATCTCTGTACACGCCAGCATCTTCACACTTGCACGGGATGAATGAATGAATGGATGGTGGATAGACGGGGTCGGTGAGTTCTTTGGTTGGGTGAATGAAGTCCGCTGTCAGGGTGAGATGGACGAAACGACGCTGAGCGTGAAACGCATGCGCACTGCACACTCGATAAACTCCGCCCTCGGGAATTTTCGTTGCAAGGCGCCCTCTGCTGATCACTAAACACGCGCACAGCATGACTGTGATCATTACAGCATTCATTTTAGAGCAACCGATGTCCTTTATCGATCAAATTATTTCACCTTTTTGGAAAGACATTTGATATCTCTCTTGTGTTGGCTCATGGGTTTTCTTTTACAGCAAAAAAAAAGAAAGACGATGGCTATTTAATATCGGCTACATTTTATTTTCTGACAAATGCAGTATGTGCAGGTTATGCCTTTCATTCGTATCAGGGTATAATAGCCGACAGAAGTTTTTTTTACGTATTTGACTTACGAACACTGTTAAAGGCCAAATTGTACATAACCACACGAAAATGTGTGTGTGTGTGTGTGCGTGTGTGTGTGCGTGTGTGCGTGTGTGTGTGTGTGTGTGTGCGTGTGTGTGTGCGCGCGCGTGCGTGCGTGTGTGTGCGTGTGCGTGTGCAATAAGCAGACAAAATATGTCCTACTCATAATCAGACAACAAATTCACAAAAACAAAAAAAAGTCACAATCAGGTACAAATAAGGTAGACATCTAGAACATTTGTAAAATACTTTCCACTTATTGTGGCGTTAAGTGGCAGTGACAGACAGTATGTGGTGTTTCGCGCTGGCGTGTCCGTACAAAGTTTCTTTGGAATGTCCCCTTGCCTATTTTTTTCGGTTTAAATTGCAACCGATGAGACACTTTGTACATTTCTAAACATTTCAATGTGTGTGCGTCGAGTGCCACTGTGTATGCGCATTGCTTCTTGATACCCTTTTACTGTCTGTGAGTGTGTTGCCACTCTTGGATGTCATCATCTGTACAGGCCACCCCCCTCCCCCCCCGCACCCAGTGACAATGTGCATGGGTGGGGGCAGAGGTGATCGCTAAATGCACCAATAAATGTGTGGACTCTTTTGACCATCTGCCTACTTGCGCTTTTGAAGTTCGTCCTCAGTGCAGGTCAACAGGTGAGTCTGACGTAATTTCAATGTATAAATTTGTGGTCATCTTTATGATGGTCATTTCCACCTCGACTATCTTGTGTGTCATGACATATTTTGAAAATGCATTTTAAAAAGAATTCTAATGGTCATCGTATTTTATTTTTTTCTTGTTGTTATTATATGGTTTACTTTGTTTTAGCACACTTGATGCAGCACACGCGATTATATATAATGACTGGCAGCATCACAAGTGGCGTAAGAAGGACAGAATAGTTCAATTTCGTGATGGTTAAACATTTTGAGTGTACCGAAGAAACAAACGCAGCACGGGGGTTAAAATGGAAAGCCTTGATGATTAATTCACAAATCAGATTTGATTTGGTCGTAGATGTTTGTTAAATTGCTAGTAGTGACAAACTTTTCAATAATGGCGTTACTTGTGTTGATGTTCTCTTGTGAAGTGTGTAAAATTTGTCCAAAAACATTTTTTAGAAGAAGTTATTGTTTCCTGTACTCATATAACACAATCACAGGCGAATTTGTTGCTCGTGATCCACATTTGGCTAAAATTGGCACAAAAACTTTTTGAAATTTGACCCACTGAAAAAAAAGTGTTTCTTTGACAGACATCTCACCACAAGAGAAAGCTCAAGATCCTAAAAATGAACTTATCTTTTGTCCACAGGCCAGGAAAAGGATGTCTGAACACAGATCCATATATTAACTCATAAAAAACAAAACAAAACGCATTTAACGCTTCTGCTGAAAATATTGTTGATCGTGGATTCATTTCTTGTCATAGAGGGTTTTCTGAGCTGTGTTGAATATTTTGGTTACCAGATTTAACTACCTGAATGGGCAAAATAATCGTAACAGCTCTCCATCGGAAGCATTCTATACCGACAATAGGACACACATTTTCAAAATAACTTTTTCGGGCCGATAAGAATGATAACATCCAAAATTATGGATGGAAAACGGTGGTCTTGGTGGATTATTTGAAACAAGCCTCGACGGATGACGTCTGTCACTCAACACTGAAGCAGCTGCAGCGAGAAGATAAGCCCCACCCTGAAGGACGCACCTTCAGCTCTCAAAACGTCACACGTATTGGCATCGATAATGTTGATAGCAAAGTTTTACTTCGCCCTGCAGTCTGTAAAACAACGGGAAATGATCCCTGTGTTGCAAAAAAACTGAGCTCATCTTAAAAAGTAAAATAACATTTTGTCCTCTCACCTCCACTCAGAGAGAGAACACAACATGGCAGCTTTCCTCCACCACTGCCCCTTCTTCAAGTCGGCCACGAAACCAGCTTTGAGGAGATCAAGCCCATTGCTGTCCCTGGCCAACCAGTGTCCCATCATCGCACGTCAGATCAGCGTCTGCAAGTCAGCCGCCTTGGAGGCCAAGCTGAGCGGCTCCCCGGCCGGCCTCGACTGTCGCCAGCTTCCCACGCTGGAGCAAAAGAGGACGTTTGCTCAAACAGCTCCTCAGGTGGCAGAGCCGGCAGTGTCCAAGGCTTGCCCTTTCGTCACCTCTCGCATTGGAATGGTCCAAGCCAGCCCTGAAGTGCAAGAGGATGTCCGAGAAGGTAGGAAGCAGGAAAAAAAAAACATTGACAAGCATTTGAAAAATAATTTGAAAGGATTACATTGAAGGGATTATCCTGCGTGTTGCTTTGACAGGTGTGATGATCTCTCTGTTGAAGGATTTAAAAGAGTCGATTTTCCCTAAATCCCCTCAAGACATCACCGTCAGTCACCTCTTCAAAGACAACATGGGTGTGTATGCTATGCTGACACCAGAGCTGTGGGGTTAAATTAGATTTCAGACATCACTTTTACCCATCAAACGCAATTAAGAGGTATAAGTTACGGTGCAAATCATGGAATTCATCTTCATTTTTACTGTTATCGTCCACTTGCATTGGGGCCAGATTGGCGCAGTGACCTCCTAGATCCAGGAGATGGCACTGTGTTGAAAAAAAACTCTTACTGTACATTGTAATTGGCACCCTCCTGTTAAAATTTTTTTGACTTTGTTAGAGGATTGTGGCATTCTAATCCAGTCCAATTGCTCTTGCCTATACAGCTGGGCCCAGCTATGATTACGACTGCTTCTTCTCTGAAAAGATCGCCGAGAAGAAGAAGGACTACACTTATAGAATCTTTAAGACGGTAAATCGGAGCGCCGGCTCATTTCCCTTCGCTGAGGATTACTCTTTGTCCGACCGCGGGGGCTCCCGAGTGTCTGTGTGGTGCAGCAACGACTACCTGGGGATGAGTCAGCACCCCCGGGTCCTCAGTGCCATGAGGTAAAATGAAAACCATCACACAGTGGATATAATCTGCAGTAAAATCACATTTGGAGCTCAGTATGTGTTTTCCTGTGCTTTCAGGTGTTCAGAGTCAAAC